TGGATAAGAGCGTCTGCTAAAATGTAAATAGTCTGTTTGCTGTAGTTTGGGACCTGCTTCAAGTAATATCAGACAAGTTGTGGTCATGATCCAATATTTTCATAATATACTTTGAAATTAGCATTGCTAATTTGTAGTCATCCTTATAATGTGTCATGATTGAAATACAAATGTAATGCTTTTTCATTCATTTTGGCCTTAACTCGTACAATTAACAGCTTTCAGACCTAGTCATGCTGATCAGGGTGAAATTCAACGGTGAACAAAAATATGTCAAGATCATTGACCTGACACTTGAAAACCTTATGCTTGGAGGTAAACTTTTAAATTTGTGATTGGAAATAAATGTATTGTTTTCATACATTTACAAGTCAGTCTGATTACTCTTACCATTACGATTGCAATTGTAATTGTAGGTTGTTGATTTAATGTTTGTCACAGCTTTCCTGAAATTTGAGATCCCACTTACTAGTTTATCAGAGGCAAAGCTGTATGATGGGTCTCGAACTGAAGTTGATGGGGATGTGTTTGAGGAGGTGGTGAAACGGCCAGGGGCCTGTTGCACAAAACTAGGATAAGGGATTAAGCCAGGATATCTTGGTGATCCTGGCTCAATTGATCCGTAATCCGGTTGCACTAAAGATGGATAGGGGGCAGGAGGATATGTTATGGTATAAATTACCATGGAGATTTATTCTGTGGAGCTAGCCTGCTCCAGACCAGGCTAAATTCCAGGATCTATTTAATCTCATCCCTAATGTCAGTCAGCAGTCACCACAAATGGAAACCAATAGTTATTTTACTGCTCACTATACATTGTTATCACATATAACTAGACCCACTGTCATTATTTAAACGTTTGTGATCATTAATTTCAATGATTTTGGATAAAAAATGATTTTTAGATGATGTTGCTATCATTAGATCATTTACAGTTTCCCATAGACTATAAGGCTATATATAAAATGATAGAATATTAGGGCCACAGAGGGGAAAAAAAACACAAGTCATAATATTGTAACCAGTTGTTTTAAAGGAGGACAGTTGTTAAAATGACAGATGTGGGGCATTTCGTGAAATTGTACTTCAGTATGGTTTCATAAACAAAGACATGCTGATGTGCCAGAATATTAAGTATCACATTGTCATAAGTATCAAAACTGTAAAAACAATATGTAGCTTTTCTGCAGAAAGAACCAGCCTCATAAATTTATGACTTTATCCTTTTTCTTCAGTGTGGCCCTAGTACTCTGTCATATAAACAAATACACATTCCATATGAATATAAAAACACAATGTGTAACATTATGTTCCTTTATTGAATAAGGACAAAACAAAGCAGGTAAACCATCAGCTCCTTTCGAAACTGAAGTCACAGTGACTCTACAAGATGGAAAGCACAGAATCCAAGCATATTATACAAAATGATACATACACATTCAAAGGTCTGTATATAACACACCCTGCATGTCTGCACACTAAAATAAATGCAGGACAAATCCATACACATCAACTGAACAGACAAATGAATGGATGCAGTAGCCTCCCTGCAGCCTTGTATTACACACAGTATACCGCACAAACATCATAAGAGGCCAAATTCGTAAAAAAAACGAACCCAAAAAAACCCAAATTCCTCTGCCACCGCAGGACATATTTAACCAAAATTGAAAGCACACATACTAACTAAAATAATTCAACACATATTGGTCCCTCAGCAGCCGACCACTGTCGTCATCAGGGAAGATTGCCGGATTGTCCCAGTCCATGGCTGGTGGCACTCTGGGGGCCCTCTCCTTCCTCAGGCAGGCCACATTGTGGAGGACAGCACAAGCCACAGTAATATCACATGCCCTAACAGGGCTGACCCTTAATTTGTGAAGGCAGTGAAAGCGTGCCTTCAGGAGGCCAAAGGTCATTTCAACTCTGGCCCTGGTCCTGGCATGGGCATGGTTGTAGGCCTGCTGTGCTTCCTGGGGGTCTGTGAAAGGTGTCAGGAGAAAAGGCTGGCAGCCATACCCCCTGTCTCCCAGCAACACACCAGAGAATTCACCTGTCAACACAAAATCTCATCATTACTACCTCATAAACACAGTGATATTCTTGACACAGCCATGATGGTTATAAATAGGGGTTGTGTGGCTTACCTTGTGATAGGCACTGATAGATTTCAGAGGCCCGAAAGATTCTGGAGTCATGGACTGAGCCAGGCCATTTTGCCACAACATTGCTGATCACACAGTCAGCATTGCAGACCATCTGAAATCATAAGATGAGGAATATTACACCAATCAATGCACATCACTGGCAATGCAGAGTGTTCGTCAATGGACAATATCAAAAAGTTATGTTCACCTGAACATTAATGCTGTGAAAGGATTTCCTATTCACAAAATCGGCCTCATGGGCACCTGAGGGGGCTTTTATCCTTATGTGTGTGCAGTCCACTGCACCAATGACATTGGGGAAACCTGTCACACAAAGTAATGAGTATCCTACTATGTGTTAACAGTTGTCCTGTAATTTGTAGATCCTCTTACCTGCAATCCTATAGAACTCCTCTTTGATGTCACAGAGTCTTCTGTGGCCAGGGAAGGAGATGAAGACATCTGCTAATGCTTTGATAGCCAGACACACACTCCTTATTGTGCGGCAAATTGTGGCCTTGTTCAGCTGTTCTGCATCCCCCACTGAGTACAGGAAGGCTCCACTAGCAAAAAAGCGCAAGGCCACACAAACCATTTGCTCCACACTCAGTGCATGGCTCCGTGCAGTGCGGTGCTTAATCCTGGGACCCAGTAGTCTGCATAGATACCTGATGCCATCTGCAGAAAACCTGTATCTTTCATATAGATGGTCATCAGGGAAGGCCAGTGGGTCCAACCGGTCCCTGAAGACCCTTTCTCGCCTGAAGGCTCTCCTCAGCACAAGTGCTTCTTCATCCACCACATCTCGCACGAATGGGCATGCCATTGTCAGAGCAGAAAGGAACACACAATTTTGGGCCTTCATACAGGCTAGTGGCCACACCTGGTGCTGGGGGGGTGGGCAAAAGAGGGCGATGCCTTATAACGATGACTTGGTTGTACTGATTGCTGGGAAAATAAAAAAAACCTTAGAAAGATGCCACCGTCCTGTGTGCTCACAATAAGAGCTCATATGTCATGGCTCACTTGACTTTACGAGAATATACCTAATTTTTATTTTGAGCTGTGTCATCTTCTTGGAGCTGGGGGAGGAAAGAAAAATAATGATTAATACATTTGTGTTACAGTTAGCATACAGTGTACATTGAAGGCATATCTCACCTCCCTCTCAAGTTTTTTTATTTCAAGGTCCAGTTTCCTAATTGTCCTCTTTTTTATTTCGGACTCCAGTGCAAGATTTTCCATCTTTTTCTTCTTGTACTGAATGTCTATGTCTGCCAGTTCTATTTGGCGCCAGAGGTGGTTGCCATACAACTTTCTGATAGCTTGTGAGCTCTGTGAACACAATACAATTAGCGCAGCTGGAATTTGGCAGGATGTGGTGTCCTTTTATTAATACGCACTATGTTGCCAGGCTGGTTTTCCCACTGTATAGCATCTGGGTCCTGTAAAATAAATTAGATTTTTTGATTTTGATGAGGACTCCTCACCATTGTAGAGTAAATAGTACTTTCACAGTCTTAACATGATACCTCATGCCTTCTGGAATCCAGAGAGATGGTCTCCTCCTCATCATCGTCTCCATCATGTGCTGTTGCTGCTGCACTGGGGCCTTCACCCTATCACATTTAATCGGATTCATATTGAAGCTAGTAGACAAGACATGCCAGGCCTACAGTATGCCTTTGATGGAGTACTCACTGGATCAGCATCGTCTGGTGCTTGTGCTGGTGGCTCTAACAGGAACACAGTGCTGCCAGACACTGCAAGGCAATAGGTAAACCAAAGTCAGACAGTCCAAATTGATTCAATATGAATGTGGTTGTATCCCATGTAGAGATGGAAGGACATACCTTGAATGAAGCGGGTGGCATCTTGGGAGGAACCTATGCTCGTCTCTTTCCCCCCAGGGATCCCCTCTAAGACGGGCCTGCCTTTATTTAGCTCCAAGGCCATGTCCTCTGCTGGGGTAAGGTCAGCCTTTGGTGACCCACCACCCGTGCCTTGTCTGTGGGTATTCTTTTTCACTGCTAAAACAGTACAGACAATGTGTGAGCAGGCACCTTCTGGGTACAATATATGCTTGTGCTTTGTTAAATATTAGTCAGGGACCATACCATTCTGCAGAATGTTCTTGTATTTGATTTTGACCTGCTGCCATGTCCGTTTTGGCCCGTTCATGTTTAATCTACACACACACACACACACACACATTTAATGGAGTCACACTGCAAAAAATTACTTGGTATTTTTGTCTTGTTTTCAGTAAAAATATCAAAAAATTTATCATAGCTTTATACAGTGTGATGGAGTTACTTTACACAATTTCACTCATATCTGCAGTGCATTTCAATTACAAATTTAACCGTTTCATAATTACAGTACAACTGCATTTTTGGAGATGTGAATTAAATATTTGAATTGTAATTGTGATGTTTCAGCGGAGCGGTGAGTGTGTAATTGTGCACTACTTACGCATTCAGGCGGTCTGCAATACTTTGCCACGCTTTTTCTCTTTGCTTTATCACTGTGGCGGTGTTGCCTTTCTTCTTAATTATATCTTTTACCTCCTCGTATGCCTCCATGAGGATTTGTGCTTCCGACGGGGAAAAGTACGCGGCTCTAGTTGCCATGGTAAATCAGTTAATCTGTGATCTGTGGCGGGGTCTATTTGAGTGAGCCGTGAGCGCGCACCTATCCAGGATTGGTTTCACCTGGCTTAATGAATCCGTGTCTGCTCATCCTGGCTTGGTCTTTGTGCAACCAATTAAGCCTGGACGCACATGTTTTGGCTTCATTGAGCTCAGCTGAGTCATTTATCCCGGATGTCTTAATTCTACTTTTGTGCAACAGGCCCCAGATCTTGGTGTTTTCAAGCTCACACTGAACAATGATGCTAAAGGTATGTGCTGGTTTTCAAGTCTTGGTTACTTGTGGCATCACTTTCAATATAACCATACATTTAACATGCCTGTACTGTCATCTTTGTGTATTTCAGAATATTCCCTGATGAGTCCTGTCTCTGACAGTTCTGTGATGGGTGGCTCAGACCATGAGTCGGATGATACAATCATTTTGTGCGAGGATGGAAGCCCCTCACAAAAGCGTCAAAGATCTGATGACGAAGCAGAACATATACGTTTGTAATTTATTCTTCAATTCACTTGCCATCAAATTGATTTTTCACTGCTGTTTTTTGCAGCTTATAGAGTGGAAAGGTTGTCATCAAGGAATACTCCAAAACCAAAAGCCTGACTGACTGCACCAGACGAAAGATGATCAACATTCTTGTTTCGGCGATGACTCACGGGTAAGTTTAAAGGAAAGATTCATAATGAAAATGGTTGAGCATTACCTGCTCCCATATCTGCTGAATGTTAAAAATGACTTCTGTATCAGTATCTCAGTCACATAATTGGTTAGGCTACTGCTGACCATCCACTGTTATTTGTAGAAGATTTATCTTGCATCAAACTCGATGGGCATGATACCGCTTCAAAAATCACTCCTGATATTTAGCTGACTGGGGACCAATACTGCTTGTGGAGATTCTGATTGCCGCCTAAACATAACAGTATATTCTTGTCAGGACATCACCACCGTGCAGTGTGAGAGAAACATTTGCACAAGGCATCGTCTCCTTGTTCCCATACCTGAAGGATCCCTACACCGCAAATGGATATGTAAGTATACATTACAACTGATAAAGGGAATCTGCATTTAATTTGTCTGGTATGGTATCTGAGCAAATGGGACTTGGTTATTTGTTTTTCTTTCAAGATTAGCAACCATGTTCATTTTCTTAAGGAACATTATTATGACCCTAATAGTGGAGAAGGGTTCCTCTCGTATAGAATCAAAACCGTTCAGAGGAACTTTGCTTCCTCTGAGAAACGGCCCACTCAACTATACTCTGGAGGGCCAACTGCTGAGAGGGGGTCCAGTCCATCCACGTTGGTTACCCTGAGTGAAGACCAGTGCAGAGAGGCCATTTCTCTTATGAAGCATTCTTCTGATGATGAAACAGTCAAACAGCAGATGAAATTGACCTTTGAGTACAGGAAGAAGATGACCCACGACCCGAGTAAATGCTCCACCAACCTATCCGAATGTCCATGCTTTCTGGATGTGAAGGTCTTGGTAAGACTTTTTTTTAAGAACAGTTTTAAGTTGTATAAATTGCGTTTAATCTCTAGATGCCAATTCAGGTTGTCCAGTAAATGTAAACAAAAACAACACTTCCGTAATAGTAATTAAATTAATGTGTATGCTGGTGATTTACTCAATCTCTGTTTTGGAGGTTAAAGTGGAATGTTTTGTGAGAAAGAAATTGACTTGCATGAAACAAATGTTTTGTTGTCTTATTTGCTTCAGATTGAACAGGATTTTGTGCTGCTGTTTGGAGAGGAAACATCAGCCAAGTTTTTGGAGAGGTGGGCAACTACATTCAAGCAAAATATCATTGTGCTAAGCAAGAACCTAAGCAAGGCCACTCAGGGAGCTGAACTTCAGGAGCTGATCCAGATAGCAGAATCTGCAGTTGATGAGGGAGCTGACACGAATGCTGACGGTTAGATTATCATAATTTATCATTTATATTTCAAATAGCTCTGAAATGTTAATGTCACTGATGATGGAATTTACCATTTTAATCAGGATCTATTCTTTGTTTAGGATGGGACGGTGACCTTTCCTCCATCCTTCTCTTGCTCCATTTGATTCCTCCATCACAAGGCCACAAAAGACCAGGCAAGATGTCTGCATCCCCAGCTGAACAGCATCTTGTGATATTCCAAAAGGTTTGTATTGGCATTCTTATTCTTGGACAGTGCTGCAGCCGTTATGATGAACTAATGATGGTGTTCGTTTTTGTAGTCTTCAGGCAGGAACCAGTATCCAGGAGCACGTTGATGCGATTGACCAGAGCTGCCAACCATATCTTCTTGCAGTTGGGACCAGGAAGAGCAGCGTCCATGCTTACTTCATCATCCTGGACAAGCGAGCATTGCCGTGCAAGTCAATGAGTGCTCTTGGTGCCTTCGATGAGCTTTTCAAGACTCACTTTGTTTTTGGTACTGCTGACAATACAACGCTGCGCAACATGTACACCTTCATACAGACAACTGTGTACAACATAGACATTGGGAAGGTTAAGGAGACTCCAAGGGTTTCTGAGCTCAGAGCTAGACTCCTGCACTAATGCCGATTAAGTTAAGATGATATGTTTTGTTTGCCATGCTAGTCATGGAAGTACAACTTGCTCGTAAATTTATTACTATTATTGAAGAGACATCCTGTCTTTTCCAAAGAGATAAATGCATTCCAAATTCAACTTCTTTATGACGACTTTGAAACTGCTAATCCATTGGGATCAAAAATGGGTATTCACAAGTGGGAAGATATATACTTTACTTTGAGAAATTGTCCCCAAAAGTTTTATTCAATTTTGGTAAATATTCACTTATGTGCACTCTTCCATACCCAGGACCTTAAAACTTTTGGATTTGATTCCATTCTTGAGCCAATAGTAAGTGATTTGAAAGTGCTTGAGACTGAGGGTATTGAAGTTTCCTTCTTCAGTGGTCGTATACATGGCAGTACTGACCAAGTAACTGGAGATAAGGAGATAATCTTGGTATACATTGCCTGTTTGGTTTTGTGGAATCATTTAGTGCTCGTTATTGTTGCCGTTTTTGCCTCAATGAGAAAGTGGATTTTCAAACCGTGTTCTCTGAGGATGACCCAAGAGTGACTTTACAATCAAAACACGCACTCAGACCATTGTCAAACTCTTCAGTCAAACCCAACACTACCTCATGTGTATGGTGTGAAGCATGCTTGCTTATTGAACTCTCTGCAGTACTTCAATACTACAGACAATTTTCTGTTGATATAATGCATGACATTTTAGAAGGAGTTGCACAATTTCAGGTAAAACTTGTGTAACAGTATATACAAGCCAACTTTGTGACTGCTAAAGATGTGTACGGTAGAGTTCATTCATTTAACTATGGCTACACAGAGAGGAGGAATCATCCACCTGCAGTCAAATTGGATGATGGGCGCAATGATTTGGGTCTAAATGCTATTCAGTCTTGGTGTCTTCTCTGTAATTTGCCATTGATATTTGGTGATCTGGTACAGAAAGATGATAAATACTGTCAGCTGCTTCTGTTACTACTACAAATTGTAAATATTGTGTTTTCTCCTATACTAACAGAGGGCATGACTATCTACCTGAAGCACTTAATTGCTGAACATCATAGGCTTTTCAAGTATTTGTTTCCTGATAGAAATCTGTCACCGAAATATCACTTCATGATACATTATCCTCATCGTATAAGGAATATGGTGCCCATTCATCACTCGTGGTGTATGCACTACGAGGCAAAACGTAATTTCTTTAAAAAACAACTGAACAGTTTTAAGAAGGTCAGTATGACCTTAGCCAAGAAACACCAAAATTACATGTCATATAATTTGGGAAACGTTCAGCCAGGATAGACTAGCTATAGGTCCAGGAAAGATGTCAAGGCTCAATGACCTGAAAGAAGGCCATGAGATTGCTGCCAATTTGAACGTCTCAGTGCGCACAAATGTTTAGTCAGTTAAATGGGTAAAGCACCATGGTACAGAATACCGTCTTGATTTGGTCATATGTGGTGAAGTAATCATTGAAATGCCAGTATTTTACAAAATTAAGGCTATTGTTCTGAAAGAGGAAAATGTTTTTTGGGGTTGGGTCAGCTCTTGAAACCGTATGTTTTGATGATCATTTGCATGCATTTAAAGTTGTTTTGAAGCAAAGTCCACCATGCAAGGAATTTCATGTAAATGACATCATGTACCACAAACCTTTTGATTTGCTCATGTCATATGGAGCAAAGGATTTTCTTGACTACATTGTCCCCTACTGTCACTTGATAACAGTTTAAGCCAGGGCTGAGACTTATGGTTAGGTTGTGAGAAACATATTTGTTTTTAATGTAAATGTCATAATTTTCCAACAAACCTATTGATTTGCTCATGTCATATGGAGCAAGGGATTATTTTGACTACATTGTACTGTCACTTGATAACAGTTTAAGCCAGGGCTGAGACTTATGGTTTGGTCATAATAAACATATTTGAATGTTGAAACAGCTTTGCTTGAGTTGATTGTGAAATTCCAAGTGCTTTTACAAAATATAATTTCCATTTACATGGGGGAAGAGTAAATACATTAACACTGAATAGAGTAAACACATTCTTACTCTAATAGGAGTCACCCTAGATCAACACTAGTGAGTGTCACTATAACACTCAAAGTGTTGATCAACACCGGCCAGTGTAGTGCAGTGTTAACTTTTTGCACTCCTCAGTGTTAAATCATCACTAGAAATGTAACACTTTGATCAGTGTACTTTTTACTCTGTGTAGAGTGGGACCATATGTACTCAGTGACAATGTTACATTTAACATTTAAAGTGTTGATTTAACACTTTAAAATTTACTGTGTATCCATTTCCCAGAATTATTTACATATAAAAATATAAATATAGCTACGTGGTGTGATGTATATTTGCATCGATGTCCACAGAGGGGTAGAGGGGGAGCATTGAGGGTGGGGACACTGAATTAATGGGCATCTGTGCTGTGGGTGTGGGTGAGGTTGCAGTGTTCAACATAGACACTCTGCTGCTCACCGCTACTGTCACAGTGGGAGAGGGAGAGAGAACTGTTAGTAAGAGTCAACCTTCAAATTATACCTACATCAAATTACATTTAGAAGCAGTTTTGAATTATGTTGGAAATGTATTGAAACCATGTTCAGCATTAAGGAAAAGGATGGGGGACAGAACACTCTCCCTACTTTTTGTTAATAAAATAATAAGGAAAGTGAAGAACCAGCTTCTACAGTAACTGCTCACATACCTGCCATGATGTCGTCCAGCGGGTCTGTGACGGTCTGTGTGGGAAGGCCACTATGAGTATGTCGGGGGCTTGGGTGAGAAGGCCCGGTCCCAGGCCTGTCAACTGCAGCCCCAACATCTACTGCTGGCTCACCATCAGCCTCAGCATGTCAGGGCAGGAGCTGTCAGGGTAGTCTGCTGTACTCAAATCTAGAATGCTGGGTGGCCAAGGTAAGAAGCTTGGCTACAGGGGCAGGAACTGCCCTGGGTCATCCTTCAGGCCCTTGGCCTTCATGTACTCTTTGGTGAACTGCTCCTTGAGGATCTTCTTCTTCTGCAGCTCTGCCTTCTCTATGGCTGAGATCCTTTGGCTCAACAGATTCAGCTTGCTCTCCATCTCTTCCACAGTGCACTCA